AGAACCGATACATGAAATCCCAGAGGTTTGAGTAGAGCCAATCAGAACGGTGCCCACACAAGAACACATGCAGGATTGAGTGATGTTTGTATGCCCGTGCTGCATGCCCGAGCTGCTGGGTCGCACCCGAAACATCATCGAGTAAAAATCGACGGCTCTGGGCGATAAACGACCATCATGTTAACTGTCGGCTTTAGCCGAATACGCGGCGCAACGGCGCCGGTGGGGCGATGCGGCCCCCTGGGCCGCCCATCAGGCGGGCATTATAGGATCTATCCGACAAATGGAATACCTCGGCCAGGCACTGGCCCGGTGGTAGCGCCGCCATGGCCGCCTGGATGAGCGGATCGAATTCAACATCGCGCAGACGAACGCCGATGTTGTGGTAATCTTCAAGCGAGTTGGGTGCGATCCAGACCGGCGCCACTCTGTGGGCGGGAGCGTTGGGCTTGAGGTACTCGAACAAATCGTCGGTGAACGAGATGAAGGTGAAGATGTGGGGCTGCGCTCGCATCCAGACGGGGGTGGGATGGTTGCCGGCACCAATTTGGTTGTTGACAGCGTCGAGGAACGCTGTCGTTTCAGTCATGTTCCACTTGAACAGCACGGCAATGCTGTCGTCTTCGACCTCGCCGTTGTCTGAGTCGTCCGAGTACTGTTCGAGCTAGAGAGATGTGAGATTGGGTGAGGTGGTAAGGTAAACGTACCGACGTCTCGTCAATGCGGCGCTTCTTGGTGGGCATTATCGTAGGTATCAGGAGTGGCACTATTGGGGCGTCTTCTCTTCGGTTGCTTGTTTGCAAATGGCCAATCTCAAAGTTTGCCTGCAGAGCCGTTAAGCGACAGGACGTATCGAGAACCGTTGTGTCCAGTGACAGTGCAAGACCGTAAAACACCGCGAGGGAATGTTTGTCTCACACGTCCTATCAACGACCCTCCCTGATGGACTCGCGGATCAAGCGCCAGCACTAAAGGCTTCAGCTGCTCCAGACTGAGCCACTGCGCTTCGAGCACGTCCGAGAGCTGCTCGTCGATAACGAGACCGCGATATACATCCACCATGAAGATATCGCCGAGCGTGTTGTTAGTCTTCTACATGGCAAACGACGCACACTAGTAGGCGAGCGGCCGCACGATCATCTCGGCTGCGGTAATACCGCGCCAGAAAGTCGAGAACCTCGCAGGCCTTGGGGAAGTCTTCATCGTCGCCGCACTTCGAAAAGTAGACTTTGAAGATCGCATGCGAAGCAAGGGCGCTAGCACCATCTGGCTGCTGTTCCAGCACGTCTTGGGAAGGGTCATGAGTACATTGCACAACGTACTTGCGGTACGTCTGGAGTGCGCAGTTATAGAAGCGCACGAGCCACTTGCTCAACGACGCATTGATGGCATCGACACAAGAAGTCGCCGAGAGCACCGGTCCGACGAACAAGTCGACACCAAGGAGCTGACGCATGATCAGGTTGAACAAGGGAGAGCATGGGCTTCTTCATCCTGAAAATATATAAAATTTGATGGGCCAAGCACTTGGTTAAGGAAGTCCGTTGAGCGCCAAGGCGCATGCATTGCCACCAGAAACACACCAATTCTATTTGAAATCTATCTTGCAAATTTCAATGCAGATTCTCCTTACCGGTCTTGGCCATTCTATGACGTGGCAGGCTCTGGTGGAAGTGTGACGCGCAGCGACACGTGTGAAATCGCCAACGGTCGCGTCGACCAATCGATGAGCAATGATCGGCGTACCTCTCGTTACCGATATCTGCGATGCGATATTCTAGACACTAAACGATTGAAATTACACTACAGCAACGGTGCAACGACGAAACAAACACAGCATTCCAGTTCTTGCAGTGGCGCAATGGATGCAGCCAGATACATACCCACACCTAGATCATGGCCATTGCCACCTCGCAGCGACTTTGCCTGCGTTGCGAAGAGAACGCGATCCCCTTGCTGCACCGGTGTGACGCTGTGTGATGAAGCACAAGAGAAGACACTATATAGAGGATGGGAGAACGTCATAATTAGTTTTTCCTTCCAGCGACTGTATTCTAATATCAGGAAGAAGGGAGATGATGGCTAAATAGGAGGGCTTAGCACTTCCAGCGCTTCCCGCAGTCGTGGCAGAGCACAAAGACCGTCATGGGTTCATCGGCACTGCGCGTCTGCTTTTGCGTGTTGCTCGTGTTGGTCGACTTGCACTTGCCGCACGTAAAGAGGCCGCGCGCGTCCGTGATGCCGCACTGCTTGTTGATCTTGTCGGCGTTCGCCACGTCCCAGTCGAGGCGCGAGCTCTGGAACGCGTCGTCGCGGAACTTGTCCTTCTCGAGGCGGAGCTCCTGCGTCGCGAGCTCGTCCGGCGTCATGAGCACGAGCTGGTCGGCCGTCACGGTGAGCGTGAGCACCTCGTCGCGCAGCATGTCGTTCTTCTTGAGGTTGAACGAGAGCTGGCGAAACTTGCCCGTGTACTCCTTCTTCATGTCCGCGGGCTCCAAGCCCTTGTCCATCTTGTAGAGCTTGGCCATCGCCGTCTCGATCGACATGGCCGCAAACTCGGCTTCCGAGCGCAGATCTTCGTCCGCGAGCTCGAGCACCTCCTTGAGCTTCTTGCGCACCGTCGTACGCACGTTGCTCAAGTTGGACGGCAAAAAGTTGGCCGACGGCTTCTTCTCCACCTTCTTCTCGACCTTGGCCTCCAGCTTCTTGGCGACGGCGGCCATTTCGGTCGACTTCTTGGGCGCGTCCTTGGTCACGTCGGTCGCGCTCGTGCGCGGCGAGAGCGCGAGCGCCTTCCACTTCTTGACGAGGTGCTTGGCCTTCTCGGCCACCTTGGCGTCGTCATGCTTGCGCAGCTTGCCGATGGTTTGGCCGATCTTGGACTCCTTGAGGAGGCTCAGCGTCATGGCGATCGAGTCCAGGTGGTCGAGCCCATCGAGGACGGCGCTCTGGCTGCCTTCGTCGCCCTGGAGGAACTTGGTCAGGCGTCGGTGGACGCGAGCGATGTCTTCCATGCTGATCCTGTCTTTCGAATAAACAACCAATGGCCCGGCGGTTCCGAATTTCTCGGCTTTTATTTTATTACTCCCCAAGCTCCCAGGTTGACTGGTGGGTGCGATCCGCCACGCATTTTATTACGCACTATTTTTGACCAATCACAGCACGACCCGCGAGCCTAGATCGCAGCCCGTGTCGGTTCGCCAAAGCTACTAGACAGTGAGCCACCACGGGCGGACCCCTGGACGATACGAGCGCATCTGCAGGCGCAAGAAGCTCCGCGAGCATTCAGTGCCGGTCCTTTTTTGCGCTCCAATGCAATGCTGCCGGCGTCCAACTGGACGCAGGAGGCGAGCGAGCCGACGAGGGACTCTGTTCGTCGTCAACCAACTTGCATGGACCTACTGCACGCTGTGTGGTCGAATACTTTGGCGCGCGGGCGCCAAAGTCTGCATTCTGCACGAAGCTTGGCAGGTCTAATGCTGTGAACCCGCGGAGGTGGCTGCAGCTGTAGCATTGCCAGAACCAGCGTTAAGGACAAACAGAAAAGTGCGCGCGTCCGGCATGGCTTGAAGTCACAAAGGACCGACAGGAGGAGCAACGATCTCTGCTCAAAGCCAAGCTGTCGGGCGTCTGTTGATGCACCCACATTGATAATGCAGAGTTGGTACTGAGAATGCACCAGCGTTTCCAACCCTATGCGCAAAACAAGCGTCGGGACATGAACGACGACGACCGCAGCTGTCGACCACTGGGAACGCCCAGGCTCCAGGTGTACTGTACCATATCAACACCGAACGTTGCGTGGGCCCGTGCGATCTTCTGCGCTCGGAGCATGGTGCACACGACGCCACTCCAGTCCCATCCCACCTCTGCCACAACTGCGACTAGAATCCGAATCCAAGCCTTAACCTGGCGCCCGCGCGAGCTAAAATCTGAACAAGCAGCGTCTCAGAGTCTGAAATCTGAAATTCTACAAATCTGAAACGGAGCGCGTCTGAGATCAGCCCGTTGGACTGCCAGCAGTTGGCGGTGCACCTTCTAGAAGCAGCACGCCACGAAAGATCCGTTGGCACGAATCCGCCAATCAGAAGGCCACTTGGGAATTTGACCGCAAACGCACAGCATGGGCTCGGACGACGGACACAAGGTTGGCGACAATGGACTCCCGATCATGAGCGCGGAAGACGTCAAGCCCAAGTACATGGGCATCTTGGCCTTCACCTTTGCGCCGCTGCTGATCGGGCTCGGCATTGCCTACGCCATCTACACGTTTGGGGCCACGGGCGCCTACGACAAGCGCATCAAGGCGCTGCTCGCGACCGACTTGCACTGGGCGTGCGCGGCCGTGGTCGTCTTGGGCCGCACGATCGCCTTTGTCAACATTTACCCGACCGTGCACAAGAGCCAGATTATGAAGCGCAACTCTGGCAACTTGCGCTCGAACCCGTTCATCTACAAGGCGCTCGGCAAGGACGCGGCGCCCAACGCGGTGGTCTTTGACGACGCGGGCGCGGTCGGCGCCTACAACCGCGCGAACCGCTCGCTCCACCACATGATTGAGAACTATGGCGCGCTCGTCGCCGGCCTCGTGCTCGCCGCGCACGTGTTTGCGTTCCCCGTGTTTGTGTGCGTGTGCATCTTTGGCCTCGGCCGCGTCATGCACCAGGTGGGCTACACGACGGGCTACGGCGGCCACGGCGCCGGCTTTGGTCTGAGCCTCGCTGCGCAAGTGACGCTCGAAGGCCTCCTCGCGCTTGTGTTCTTGAAGGGCCAGAAGCTTCTCTAGCCGCCATGGCATGGACATGTAGTAGGTAGTGTATGCGGATGAATAACGTGACACTGCTTGCATCAACTTGAAGTTCGATTGCGACGAGCGCGCCAACGACGTCAGCTGACGACCCTGGTCTGCCGTGCCCTCTCCTGACCTCTCATTCAATGGTTCTGCGCCGCGTGCCCGACGTCGGTACCACTGCCACCAGCTGATCATCTCCGCCTGTCTTCGGAAATCAGGATCACTTCGTGGCCCGGGGTACGCGTACATTTGTGGGTGCAACGTACGAGTGAAGCGTTTACGTGTCGATCTAGCAGCAGGCACGTGTGGCTGACCCTCCCATTGAACATAAGTTGCATGTTTTATCGCGTCGTCGAAGAAACCCGCTCCAGTGCCCGATGCACCTTCTGGCAGCCTTTCTGGCCATTGCGTACGGTATGGAATGGCCGCATCAGATTTATACCCCGGGGCACCGCGAACGCTGCTGAAAGATCGCAACATTCTACATTTGGCACATGAGTGGTCGACCGCTGGGCCCAAACGGGCTACCCGTCATGCGCGTGGCCAAGCCGCAGCTCTTTGTGACCGCCATCTTGGTCATCGTGCCCGCGCTCATGGGTCTTTGCATTGCGTACTTCGGCGTCTACGCCCGTGGCCCTCTCGCGACCTACGAGGCGCGTATTGCGGCGCTCGTGGCGACCGACTTGCACTGGGCCTGCGCGGCCGTCGTCGTCTTTGGCCGGCTCGTCGCGTTCGCCAACGGGTACCCGATGGCGCACAAGGGCCGCATTGTCTTGCCCTTCTCGGGCAACCTGCGCGTGAACCCGTTCTATTACAAGGCGGTCGGGAAGGACGCGCCCGAGAACCTCATTGGGCTCGTCGAAGACGGCGCGGTGGGCGCCTACAACCGCGCGAACCGGTCGCTGCACCACATGATTGAGAACAACGGCGCCGTCCTCGCGTCCATCTTTCTCGGTGCGCGCGTCTTTCCGTACGAAGTGTTTGTGACGATCGCAACGTATGGTCTCGGTCGCGTCCTCCATCAAGTGGGCTACACGTGGGGCTTTGGTGGCCACGCGATCGGGTTTTACATTGCGACGCTCGCTGGCAACACGCTCGAGGCGCTCCATCTCATCATTGCGCTCAAGGCGTGGGGTCTCATGTAACTATACGAACGCAGCAACGTTTTCTGCTGTCTCGGCTTTGCAATCGACGCTGGTGTTGAAATGAGTTCTTAGTCTGCATTAATTTCGATTTTCAGCAAGCCACTAGGGTGTACCTAGTACTCGTCGTTCAGTGGGGTTGCTGCGCAGAGCTACTTGCTCGGATCGTCCTTGTTGTCGTCGCTGCGTGGCTTGCGGAACCAGAGAAAGGCGCCTGCGATTGGCAGCGCGATCGCAACACCGACAGCAGCCACCGCAACGCCACCAGCGACTCCGAGACCCGCGGCACCGACAGACTGAAGCACGGCGACGGTCGAGCCCGCCGCGACGCCGCCTCCGTTGGCCACAGCAGCGGCTGACATCATGCTAGCAGCAGTGCTGCCCGCGGCAATACCGCTCGAGGTAAACCCGAGGCCTGCCACGACAGCCGTGGTCGCCACCGGAGCAGCGACCGCGCCAGCGACCGCAGCGCCGCCGAGGACCAATTTGGCGTTTGGTTGGTTGTTGGCGACAGCGTCCTTTTCGATTTCGTGGAGAAGCTCTTGCACGATGGACTGTAGCTCTGGGGAGACGCCGTCGCCCAATAGAGGGTCGTTGCTGCTCGTTTGAAGCGTCTCCCAGCGCGCCTTGCATGTCGCCGCGTCAGTCGTCGCGGGCCACGCTGCAAGCTTGATCAAGCTCACTGCGACGTCGGCCCATTTGGCCATGGCATCGTTGTCGGACGTCGCACGCCACGGCTTGACAATCTGCATGCTCTCGCAGAGCTGGAGATCGTCGCCACTCTTGCTCATGGTCGGTGTCGTGGTCAAATTCGAAAATGCATTTCTCCAACCAGTACTGAATCCTCAAGAGTGGACTTGATAAACTTGAGTTGACTGTCCACCGACAGAAATACTACGCAGTTGCACTCTAGTAATAATACCTCGACTAGGAGTGGCTTTTTTATTTCCCAGCTCCGTGTGGAGGCGACGTGTCGATAATGAAGGGACGAAGCGGGCGACACAGCTTCAGGAAGCGACATTAGCAGAAATGGATGAATTTCACAAGTGTCTTGGGCTTGGGAGCAGTCTGTCTGCGTACTCAGTCAATGCATACTAATACATGTAGCATAGAAGCACGCTCTATTCAATCTACCGTCCTCTCGCATCTTCCTTAAGAGGAGCAGTACAATGCGCCGACCCCGCAACACACTCGAAGCGCTCCATCTCAAGGCATAGGGTCGCGTGTAACTAACTACACGAATGCATGAATCTGTGTTGGCATTTAGCAAGCACAATACGCTGTTGTTGATATGAGTTCTTAGTCTGCATTAATTTCGACTTTCAGCA